CATAATCATAATCCATTATTTGTAGTTCTTGATTTATGACCAGAATTGAGACCAGAAGTACTATTGCAACTCAACAATTGAAGTTGTTAACTGATTTGCATCTGATTTTACAATATTTTTGTTGTGATTTTGTAAAGCACCATACTTGTTAAGTAGTCACCTGCTCAACAATCAAATTCATCTCCTTCCCACTTTGCTTATTGGAAGCCACCTGAGAAAGCCTCCAATGGCAATCACATAATTCTGGAATGTGGTGCCTATGGGATTTACTTAAACTGCCCACTTCAAAAGGCTCTGGGTGTTTACGACATAGCCACTTTTTAACTAAAACAATTGAAAATATAAAAACAAAATATAACAACTCAAAAAAGAAAATAACCACAAAAGTAAGAAATCGACATACACACTAACACTAGACCTAGTTGAAAGCCAGGTGTCAAGGACATTTTGAGACTTATATACAGGGTCATTGTTGGTATCTCTTAAGCCTTGTGCCTTAAATCTTTCTCAATCTAGAGTATCTAGAGAATACTCTCTAGAGTATCTAGAGAATACTCTGTGATGCCATAATTCCAATCACTGTTGTGACACAAAATTTAACATATTCTCAGTGGACCTTTTATGTAAAGTCTTCCACAGCTCTCTTTATAAACCCTTTTAATAGTACATAGATTAGATGTACAAAAATGTTTCTTAGTAAAAGATTTTAGAATTGTAGGTCACATTACTGAGTCCCTGATGTTAATTTACAAAAGTAAAGAATCAACATATGAAAAACAAACAAAGAAATAAAAATGCTTGTGGAATAATAGGAATGTTCAAGATTTGCTTTCCTCTAAAGAAATACTTTTGAAAGTATTGAGATTAGATTGATGAATGCTGTACAAATCCCATAATGAGTCATCTTTGAGTGATATGAATCTGGATCATATAAATGTTTGAGGATTTTATTGTCTACAAATTAAATTTGCACTTAAAAATTTCTACTAATACCATTTATTCTTGACTGCTCAATATTTGCTTCCTTTCTATTTCTATTATTCTAATCCTATGATGTTGTAACTCAATATTTGAGATTCTATTGGTGACATTCTAATTAGGCTTCTAATCTTTTATCAGTTATTTGTATATTTGAGTCAATGATATTATTCTTATATTATTGTGAACATTTACAATAGATACAACTTCAATTACTGTGGGAAAGTTATTGCAACTATCCACTTGATTTGACAATATATTGCATACCATAAATTTGAACTTTCAACACATATGGACTATACTACAGAGTGAAATATTACCAGCCAGCCACGACGATGATGCTTCTTTTCCACTTCTTTCATCACTAACTTTCTTCCAGATGTGGAAGAATACATGGCTTGCAGAGCATGAGCCACAGCATACACAGCATTGTAAATGCTATAACTGTGTCCTGTTACTCTTTTTGGAAAAATATATTCAGGAAGGCTCTCTAATTTCTCTTCTCCACTGCAAATATACTCCTTCCCATCTCCCAGATCAGAATCTTGAAATGCACATCCAAATGCATGAGTCCAGAAATCCTTGATAAAGCCATCTTCTTTTATATCAGAAGGCTTTAGATCCTGTATATGTTGCCGGAATCCTTTCAGTTCTTTGGCATGAATTGTAAATGATATTGCACCATGAAAGTCCTGCAAATCCCAAGTTTTTTTACTGGCAAAATATCTTAACTCCATCCCTATCGTCAGGATCCATACTTTCCCTTTTTGGGTTCCAAATAGTTCTTTGTAATCAGTATTTAGTAAATATCTCAAAATGATCATAGAATGTGTATCTCCATTAAAAATCAAGACATTGGCTTCATTACCCATTACTGTCTCATAAAATTCTATTATACAGTCGAAAAAAAATCCAGTATTTGCATTATAACATGAACTATCAAATAACTTTATGAAGGCAAAACAAATGCCTTTTTTGGAATACTCAGGTACCAGGATATGTAAAAACCAATCTAAATCCATGCCATTTGCCACCAAGAATCCAATCCATCTCCAACTAAAATGTAGAAGTAAGTGGAGGATACCCCTATACTCATAAATTCCATTTGGAACCATTTGGTAATAGGAAGAGAGATTGGTATCTTCTGCTTCAACTCTAGCAGATCCATACATGAGCTGCAAAAAAAAAAAAAAAAAAGGAATTGTTCAGTAGAATGAATTTTTTCAATATTGCATGTGCAACAAAAAAGGACTCTTTCTTTCTGTTGAAGTTGATACATTTTAGAGCTCATAGGATGTGGCAGAATATAACTTTGTTTATAGTTTATCTACTTTAAAGGAAACTACCAGGAAACACTGGGCTACTTTATAGGGTTGATTGGGATGGTAAGATACTATCATCATCATCATCATCATCATCATCATCATCATCATCATCATCATCATCATCATCATCATCATCATCATCATCAACAACAACAACAACAACATTGAAGAAAACAATGATTTATTAATGTACAGGGCGGGGCATAACCTTTTCCTAGGGGGTCACAGGAACACTTGTAATAACAACACAAATAATTCATACACCATTCGAAAGCCCATCAAAAACTGAGTTTATTGACACGATTTAATAGTCAGTATGACCACCATTAGCCCTTCGAACAGCATTCAAACGAGGTGCCTCTCGAAAGGCAATGCATTTTATTCTGTCAATGATCCTTTGTTCTTCCGAATCGAATTTTCCAGCCATTCTTAAAGCAAATTTAACATTTAATAGCTCATTCAATTCAGTTTTTTATGGGCTTTAAAATGAGGTGTTGCAGAAGTTGTAAACTGCTGTCGATCTTGCTGTGACCCCCTAGGAAAAGGTTATGCCCCGCCCTGTATACTACTGCCAAAAGAAATATCATATCCATTTCCATATAAATAGCCAAACTTTATCCAGAGATTTTTTTTTAAATATATGTATTCATAAGTCGCATATGTTAAGTTTAGTGAATATAAAGTGGATTTTCTTCTTACCATGATAGTAGGAGATTAGGTACACTTGGTTTGTGTATGAACTAGATGAGCAGCGATATATGTTAAAATATTTACTACAACATAGCTTGACCCAAGAAAAAAACACCTAATCCAAAGTTTGTTTCTTTTGAGTATGTATTATCACCATATTATAACTTCAAAAGAGACACATTTGTGTAATGTTTATGAGTTCAGGCAGGAAGCCATGAGTTCTAGTTCTGCCTTAGGCACAAAACCACCTTGGCCCATTTCTATCTCTGTGAATCTCAGCCTTATGAAGAAGGCAATGACAGACCACTTCTTAAATCTTGCTCAGAAAACTGCAGGGACAGGTTCAGGCAGCCTGGAGTCTACACTGACTTAATGGCACCAAACAACAACAATAAAAATAATAAATCAATTGAAAAAGGCGTCTTTAGTTGGAACAGTTTACATTCTATAACGATATCTATAACACCATCAAACATCCACATCTGCCTATACAGGCCTTGGGAAGGAGCCAAAATGTGAACAAAAATGACAAATACAGCGTGAACATCTGTCTAACTGTGCAATGAACCAAAATTATAAGTTACAGAAGAACTGGGTAGCAATTGGAAAACCCAAATCAAAAACATATTCATTTCCAAAGTGGGATTTAAGACTGCATGCCAAGATAAAGAAATTAAAAATCAAATGTGAATAATGAAGAACATGAAAGAATAAAAGTAAAAGAATGAAAGGATCCTAGAAGCCTAATAAAAAAAAAAGTTGCCAACACCAGAGAAGTTCAAGAAAGTTTGGAAAGCAATAAATCACAGCATAGCTGGGAAAAATTAATGCTTTGAGATATTAATCATCCATTTAAATCAAAATCAGCTATTTCAATCAGACAAGAGAAATTCTGAAAATAGATATATATATATATATTGAAAGGTCTAGGGAAAATTCAAAATAATGAATGGATATAATAATTGAAGGAAGAATTTATTAAAATCGAATGGAAGAGATAATAATAGCAGAAATTAAAATAAATTAAGTAGGAAGAATTAAAAACAGGACATTCCCTGCAAATTATCAAATGTATGGCTTTTGGCTCAAATATTTGACTAGTTTACATCAAATTATAGCAGCCTAATAAAGTAATGAATAAAAGATACATCAGGTGAAATGTATCTTACCGAAAAAGGTCCCAGCAAAAGGGACAACTCCAGAAAACTAAAGATTGATAAAATGCTTGCCCACAATCTTTAAAATACTCACAAGCATACACCATCAACTCTACCAATACCTGGTATTAAATAATTGGCCATAGCTGTGACATGTACACTTGAAGTATTAATCAGACACAAGCTAAACTGAATGGTTTGGACCAAAAAACAATAACAAGATAAGTGACCATTCACTATACATTATGACCTTATACTTATATTAAACTGATACTTTGCCTACAGAAATAGAGGCAAGGGTTTTTACTTTAAAATAAATAAACTGTCAAAAAAGAAAAGTATACCAATGTATCCGTTTTGGAAAGAGCAGCATCTAGATTTAGATAATAATGAGCTCAGACTAATGAACCTAAGAGATTTAATTTAAAAGCACGAATTCTCTAACAATGCTGTGTTCACCAGAGTGAACACAAACAGTAACAATTGAAGAGTCAATTTATGTTAATGAAGAAACTAAAGTTGCTAAAGACTGTTAGTTAATGGAGAATTAGCTGGGAAAATCAAGAACCAAATAAAGAGAGCTGAAGGAATATATTGGTCAAAACTGAATCAAGGTAAAAAAAAACCTTTAGCTAAAACTTTAAATAATATTAATTAAGCTGTTAAAATGATTTAAATTGCAACATTGGCCCAAACAAGCTAGTTTATGTAACCATTGACAAATCTGCCTTAAAATACAATTCAATTAAGAAATTAAGAAAGGGAAATCTAAATAGAAAATGCTGCTGGAATTAAAAATAAAGAAAGTTTGCATACAATTGAGGAATTTGAGGTAAGAAAACTTGAAAAATAACAAAATCAAAACTAACTTTTCTATGTATAGCACAATCTGAAGATTAAAGGAAGGCTACAGACCAAATGAAATAAAGAGTCATGCCTATTGCAGAGAAGATCAAGATATATTACAATCAAATAATTCAGTTACAGCAATTTACAGCAAGAAGAGATCTTAAAATTTCGTAGAAGTTTGTGGATAAAATAATAGAAGTAAAAAAAAAAGGAATGCAACATGAATTAAGTAAGACAAAAATACTGTGATAGTACTTAGTTTGGAAGATATTAGAATAACTGAGGACATGGTACAAAAGCAATCAGAAAAAAAGAAAATACTGCAGTCTCCTGAACCAGATGTGATTCATGAATTCTCATTAAAATAAAATTGACAATTTATGTTTGAAGTTGGCAGATCAATAGATTAGATTTAAGAAATGACACCTTATTTATACTGAAACCCTAAATGAAAAATGGCTAACAACTGTTAGGACATGTCCATTTCACGTAATTTCTAGGCTCATTTTCCTTCTCCATCTGAATTATGAATATCTTTCCAGTTGTTTGCCAATAAGATATGAATTGCATATTAGCATAATTGTAAATCAAATTTGCTGTTATTTGAAGAGAAATTATTTATTCCCTTTTGAACAAAAAGAGTACTGCAAAAATTTAAGCGAAATGAATTAGTTGTTGATTTAAACTGATTTTTTTTTAATTCAAAAAAGAACAACTATATTTGTGACTTGGATGGAGTGCAAAAAGGAATTTGATTCTGTTTCACATAAATGGCATGGGAAATGTCTCGACATTTTTTGAAACAGCAGAAACATTGAGCTGTTATGAATCCTTCAATGAAGTTTTGGTGAACAAATCTAATAGCTAATAGAGAAGAGTTAGGAGAAGTTGAAATCAAGCATGGAATTTTCCAAGGTGAATCATTATTTCCTTTACTCTTTATATTATCAATGGCCCCACTGACAATAATTTTGAACAAGACAAATCATGGGTGTGAAATGGCCAAATAAGGATAAAATTTTAATATTTACTTTATATGGATGATTTAAAGTCACTTGAAAAAACAAAGGCTGAACTAAAAGCGTCCTTATTAAAAAGCACAAAAGACTTCGGGAAAGATTTTGGAATGCAATTTGTTATTGATAAGTGTCCAGCCATAGCCATAAAGATATATAATATAATGGCATAAAATATATACCTTTATAAGTATGTATTCCCTACTTGAAACTGTCTAAATTCTTCGAGACTACCTGCCTAGTTTAGGAATTGAATTATTAAGTTTCCACCAATTGTGATCTGTGAATCTATCTGCAGATTAGCCACAATAAATGCAACATACACAAAGCAAGGGAGAAGGGGACAGGTGGAAACTTACCTGTGGAATTTTATAAAGACTCATGAGAATTGGAAACTGGTGCATGATATCTGAGATCAATTCCTCAATAACTGCATAAAGATTGTCTTGAATTATGCACTTATAGTTGGGCAAAAGTTTGCTGTTTGGAGAAATCAGTTGCATTGCTGCATGATAAGTCCACTTTATGTTCAGGTGACTATCATAAATGTTAAATCCCAGGGTAACATTGGGTAACATTTGGGCATTTCCATTAATTTCTTTCACAGCAAATATCAAAGCCAGAATGTGCTGGTAGTTCTCGGTCACTACACTGCAAAGGAAATGTTCAACCTTGGATCATATACATCTCTGAAACTTCTAAACAAACAACATTTGTTTATTGATTAAAACTGCATACAGTTGCAAAGAGTATTTCAGTTTCCTGAACTATTTCTTTCATTCCATTCATGATCCTTCATTATAATAATATTCAAGATCTAAAAAAAAAATACAGTAATTGCTGAATATGAATAAGGGCAGTGAGTTTGGGAAAGAATGGGACATTCCATGTAGCATCCCCAGCTAAGCAGATAAGGGAAAGGGGGAAATCATTAAACTACTAATGTAGTTTGAAATAACTTTATAACAAAATGGTATTGAAAGTGGAGAAGATACAAGGTGAAAATAGTTACAGCAAAATTCATACCTCATTTGATAAAGGAGACTTCAAATATTGTTATTCAGAAATATTAATGGCATAGAGGAAGGAAAAGTTAAAAACAGAAATAAAAATTTAAAGCAAGTAATAAGCCTAAATGAACATCAAATAATACTTTCATCCAGAGTTGGCAACCTGAAATTCTCCTGTTATTAGTGGACAATGGTTCATGCACACAATCAGAAGAGTAGTTGAAAAAGGATCTGCTCTACAATGATTCCTTTTACCATAATGATGTGCTTCCCTAAGATATTTTGCTATATTAAATCACAGCAATTGCCCTAATAAAGTGAAGCATCTTGTCAAGGAGGTCACAGATGAAGTGTTCACTTCCATAATGTAGTGAAAAAATCCTTATACAAACATTTTTCCTAAAGGTGAGCCCGAAGGATATTGTTTGAAATTATAGGGATTCATATAGAATGCAGTTTGATAAATAATTCCTCCATAGATGAAATGTCCTGACTTAAAATACTTGGGAATGTTCTGAGGAATGTGCTCTGTCTCACATTTAATATGTCCAAGCTTGCATCCTACATCAGGTAACAGTAGCAATAGCATTAACAGCTTCATTATGGTTCTAATGTCTTTGCTGCAGACAGTTTCAATTTGTAGTTGTTGAACAGTTAGTGGAGTATTCACAATCACAACAGCTGTATTTAGAATGTTTCCCCTTTTGCTGATAGGGTGTAAGAAAAAATAAATAAGAAAAAAGTCAAGTTGTGTCTTGTCAATTCAATCCCCTGGTGCAGTAGAAATATACTTATGACATCATTAGTAGCTGTTTTCATTCCTTTTATTATTGGTCATAGCAATCCCCAAAGGGAATGAATACTACAGAAGTAATTGTAGGCCTTCTGCTAATTGCAGAGAACATTTTATTTTCTCAGTTGTATTATGAATATTTTTTGAAAGAAAAGATGTGAACAAGTTGATTGAATTAAACGTTTTATTTATTTTTAACTAAATGGAAATTTGATTCCTAAATTTCTGCATAAAACTCATTTTTATAACCTATTCAGGCTTTCAAACATTATCTTAAGACAGCATAAGCACAACACATGAGTGATGTAAACACAACATGTATATATGCCCAATGTGAATATGCTCATTAGCTTCTTATAGAATTCCTTACTCACATAGCCTTTTCTCATTAACATAACTTATTTCTCCACTATCTCTTTCTCCAGAAAAACTGCCACAGCTGATCTTTCTATCCAGTTGAAAATATTATTTTTGATCCTTATTTCAAATCCACATTAGAGGAAGTCACTTCCTTACATTTGTTTTCTGTCCCTTTATTTATTTAATTAAATATAACTGACACAGCAGGATAGGGCAAGACAGGAACCTGGCATTAAGGCAGTTGGTAAATTGGTTGAATCATTTTCTCTCATGGATAGAAAGAAGGCAAAGGGAAATTATTGCCAAGAAAAATCATGGACTTCAGTTTGGAGTCAAGACTGATCCAAAAACATGTACCTATATACAAAGAAAAACATACATACATACATACATACATACATACATACATACATACATACATACATACATACATACGTATACACACACACATGCACACATACATATACAGATGTTTCAATAAAGGACAGCCATATTTTATCATAATTAGTAATACATAGTGTTAGGAATATAATCTAATGGTTGGGTTGGCAATATATAAATCATGTAACAATGCTATACCTGTTTCTCTAAATCATGCTGTGAAATGTGAGAGTTGGTGTTGATGCGCAATACCGCATACAGACAGCTGTTTTGTTAGCGATTGTTACTATCATGGAGAAGATGGTGAGCGACCCATCAACAAGCCTATCGATGATAACCCAGTTGGATGGAACAAACTATGTTTCCTGGTCTATGAAGTGCAACCTACTCCTGCGTAGGGAAGGTTTATGGGATGCTGTACAGAATCCACCGAATGTAACTGCTTGGAATCCAGATAACAATGAAGATGCCAAGAAGATAGCAGATTTTCAGTGATGCAATGAACGGGCATTGTGTATTATTGGTCTAACACTGAATGACCAACAATTAGTGCATATTCATGGAGAAAATTCTACTGCAATGTGTTGGGAGAATTTGAAGAGGATTTATGTATGTGACAGTGTAGGTGCACACATATATCTTACAT